ATAGTGGTATTAGCAGGTCTTCCTTGTATGTATGTGGATGTTAGCCTGTCACTCAGTAGATCAAGAATCAGTCATCTTTTTTAAAAAATGTCTTTCTTACTATTAGCCTCATTTTTCTTCACTTTTTTATTCCTTGCATTGTAAGTCACATTCTTGCAATTGTTGTTGCTATGTGCCGGAGAGTCACTTGTGACTCATAGCAACTCTATGCACAATCGCTCTGAACCCTGCTCTAACCTGAGCCAGTCTTACTGTCTCTGACACACCTACCCTCATTACCCCAGTTACTCTGCCAATCCATTTTATTTGAAGTCTTCCTTCCTTGCCCTATCCTTTGACCTTTCCAAGCAAACTCTTCTCCAAACACAGCCCCTCCTTGACTACATAACCAAAGTATGTGAGACAGAATCTCAAAATCCTTTCCTCCAAGGAACAGCTTCTTTCCCCCTCTCCAGGACAGACTTGTTAGTGTTCCTGGCAGTCCGTGGTATGTTCAAAACTCTTCTCCAGCACCACAGCTCAAAGGCATCAAATCTTCTTCTGGCATCCTTGGTCACTGTCCAGCTCTCTCTTATAGTAGTGCTTTGTAATTTCCTTTGTATAGGTCTTTGTGGTTCTAGTTAGATTTGTTCCTAAGTATTTCATCTTGTGGCTAACTCTTGTAATTGGTATTGTTTTCCTTATTTCCTTTTCCATGTTCTTTGCTACTGTAGAGAAGTTCACCTGATCTTGTATTGTGTTATTTTAATGACTTGGTACTATGTCCAACAGTTTCTTTACTGAATCTTTAGGATTTTCTAAATATACTTGAATTGTTGTTATCACATCATCTATAGAGAGAGAGGTAATTTTACTTATTCTTTGCCAATTTGAATGCTTCTTATTTTCCTCCTCTTCCCTATCGCTCTCACAAAGATTTCTAATCCAATACTGAGTAAGTGTGGTGAGCAGTCATCCTTGTCTAATTCCTGTGCTCAAGGGGAATGTCTTCAATCTCTCTCCATTGAAGATGATGTTGGCTCTTGGTTTAGAGTATATTATTAATTATATTGAGGAATTTTCACTCTATTCTTAATATGTTGAGTGACGTTATCAGAAAAATGTGTCTATTTTTCATCAAAATTCCTTTCACCATCAATAGAGATGATCATGTGGTTGTTATCCTTTGTTTTATTGATGTGGTGAACTACACTTGCTGTTTTTCTTATTTTGAACCATCTTTGCATGTTGTTATGAATCCCACTTGGTCAAAATGTATTAGTATTTCTATATGTTGTTGGATTCTATTGGCCAGGATTTTGTTGGAGATTGGCCTATAGTTTTCTATGTCGGTGGTGTCTTTACCTGACTTTGGTATTAAGGAAATGTTTGCTTTATAGAAATGAGTCTGGGGATATTTCTTTTTTTTTTTCTGTTTTCTGAAATGATTTATGTAGAATTGGTGACAGCTCGTCTCTAGAGGATTGTTTGGCAAAACTTATTGTTAAATCCATCTGGTCTAGGCCTTATTTTTTTTGTTCAGAGTTTTTTATTACCTATTCTATTTCTTCTTTTGAGATGGATATGTTCAGGTATTCTACTTCAGTCTGTGTCAGTTTGGGTAGGCTGTGAGTTTCTAGTTATTTTTCCATTTCCTCTAGGATTTCATGTATGTTTAGTTTTTCATAAAATTATGTTATTATCCTTTTTATTTCAGTTTATTTTCTTGTGGCATTGCCGCTTTAATTTCTTATTTGGATTATATGTATTTTCTTTCTTTTCCTTTGTTAGCTTTCCCAGTGGTTTGTAGGTTTTACTGATCCTTTGAAGAACCAACTCTTATTAATAGTTTCAATTGTCTCTTTTCTAGTCCATTTCTTTCTACACTAATTTTTATCATTTTCTTTCTTTTAAATGTTGGCAGGATTACTTGCTGTTCTTTTCCTATTGGAGATTTTGGGTATTTCTTCCCTTTTGATATATTTGCTTATTGCTATGACTTGCCTTCTAAGTACTGGTTTTGCTCTATTCCAGAGGATTTGGTAAGTTTTGTTTTCATTCTCATTTGTTTCAAGACCATTTTTTTACTTCATTCTTAATTTCTTCTAGTTTTCTTGGCTCCACAGTCAACACTCTTGGCACCAGTAGCCAGGAAATTAAAAGACGTATTGCCATGGGACAGTCTGCTGTTAGGGACCTCTCCAAAGTACTGAAGAGCAATGGTGTCTCTCTGGAGACTAAGGTGCGTCTGATAAAGGCTGTGGTCTTCGCAATCACTTGTTAGGCATCAGAGAGTTGGACAATGACCAAGGGGGATAGAAGGAGAATTGATGCCTTTGAGCTGTGGTGCTGGAGAAGAGTATTGAGAGTACCATGGATTGCTAGGAAAACAAACAGATTCATCCGGGAAAAGGTTAAACTGGGCAGCTCCTTGGAGGCAAGGATTCTGAGGCTCCAATAACATACTTTGGACATGTTGTAAGGAAGAACCGGTCCTTGGAGAGGGACATCATGCTTGGTAGTGTGGAGGGACAGCGCAGGAGGGGAAGGCCCTCTATGAGGTGTATTGATTCAGTGATTGGGGTAATCGGGATGGGTGTATTGGAGATGGTGCAATTGGCACAGGACAGAGGAGAGTTTAGGGCTGTTGTACATAGGGTCGCAATGAGTCACAAGCAACTCAACGGCAAGTAATGACGACAACAACAACAGCAACCCACTCGTGTTCAAGCAGGGTCTTCATTAGCTTCCAGATAAATGGTTTTTTCTCCTTTATTCTCTTGTTATTTATTTCTAATTTTAAAGCATTATGATCTGAAAATATGCATTGTATTATTTCAACATTTTTTAATTATTCAGACTTGCTTTGTGACCTCAGATGCACTCTATTCTGAAGAATGTTCCATGTGAACTGGAGAAAAAGAAATACTGAGATTTTTTTTGGGGGGGGATGTATTACCTATATTACTCTTAGATCAAATTGGTTATTTATATAATTTAATTCTTGAACATCTTTGTTGAAATTTTTTTTCTGATCATTCTAGCTTTCCTTGAGAGTGATGCGGGAGAAGAGTATTGAATATACTATGGACTGCTGGGAGAACAAATATGTTCCCCCTGGAGTGGGGGAAACCAGTCTCCTCCTTGGAGGCTTTGTCTGACATATTTTGGGCATGTTGCAAGGAAGGACTAGTCCTCAGAGAGGAGCATCATGCTTGGAAGCGTGGAAGGACCGTGCAAGAGAGAAAGAGCATCTATGAGATGGATTGGCTCAGTGACTGGGATAATAGGAGTAGGTGTGTTTTTTCTCCAATGACTAAGATCCTTCCTAATAACATGTCCAGAGTACCCATGATTTGAAGTATCACCATCCTTGATTCTAAAGAGCAGTCTTACTATATAATTAGTGATAGATTTGTTTGTTATTCTTGAAGTCTACGGTATATGCAATATTCTTTACCAACACCTTAATGTAAATCTATAAATTTTTTTTTGGTCTTTTGTCATTGTTGTTAGGTAATGCCATGTCTATCATGCTCCTAGGAACCCTGCAAATAACAGATCTGAGCATTGCCCAATCCTGTGCCAGCTTCATCATCTCTGATATACTTGAGCTTATCAATACAGTTATTGTGTCAACCCATCTTATTAAGGGACTTTCTCTTCTTTGCCAATCTTGCATCCTTCTAAGCATGATGTCTTTCTCTAAGAACCAGCTTCTTATAACAATATGCCCAAAATATGTGAGTTGAAGTTCACCACCTATGCCTCTAAGGAGCACACTGGTTGCACTTTCACCAAGACAAATTTGTCTGTTCTCTTGGTAGCTTATGGGATATTCAGTACTTTTCTCCAACACTACAACTCAAAGGCAGTGATTATCCTTTGTCATCTTTAGTCATTATCCAACATTCAGACAAATAGCAAGTAATTTAAAAGACCATGGTCTGGATCAGGTGCACCTTAGTCATCAAACTGACATCATTGCTCTTTTGTATTTTGAAAAGGTCCTTTGATAGTAGATTTTCCCAATGCAACATGACTTTTGATTTCTTGACTACTGGGGCAAAGGTGTTGATTGTGAATCCAAGTAAGATGAAATCATTAACAACTTCAATCTTTTCTCTGTTTAACAACTTCAGTCTTTTTTCCATTTATCACAATGTTGCCTTTTGATTTAACTGTGAGGATTCCACCTCATGCTTATGATGTAACCAAAATTACCCTGATTTGCATTAGCACATCTTAGTCCTCAAAGTGACACATTTACTTTTTAACATTTCCTACATTACAGCAATTTCACTCCTGTGATTATATTCCAGAACTACTCCACATCTTCTATTAACGACTCCACAGACTATGAAAAATCATTAGCTCAAACAAATTATGCTGAGTCACATAAATCAGTCAAAAAAGGAGAATACTAGTACATTGTTGTTGTTGTTGTTAGGTGTTGTGAAGTCTTAGACAACTCATAGCGACCCTATGAACGAAAGACCTGGACACTTGTGTAACTTTCATCTTTTCTCCATGTTCATGGACTTTCTGGATGTAAGCTATTTCAGAAATGGATGCCACTCCTGCTTCCAAGCTTATTTTAATTGGGGAGCTCTACCAAACTCTGTCCACCATGGGTAACCATTTATCGCATTTGACAATCACACAACAGTGTCACAGTGTTTAACATTACACCAACCTTGAGTTATCTCTCTACAGCAAATGGACAGACCAGTACTATATCACTTAGAAGAATGTTTGACCCTAAACTATTAAAACCAGGCCTGAGAGCCACAGATTAAAATCACCTACCTTTAGTTTGGTAACATCACTTTTTATCTACATGATCTTAAAATTTAGATAAGTCAGACTCTTAAAAGCTAACAAAGCCAGTAGAAATAATTCAGATGATAACAGAAGAAAAAAATAAATAGAATCATTTTTGTAAGAAGAATTTAAATTGAATAACAATCTTTCAATCTGAACAAAGAGTTTAAGTAAACATTATTCAGAGGACTCCTCACCTTGTTTTTCTTGGCCTTCATTTGGGTTTTTGCTAATAGAGCATATATGGTTATCTCCGGCTTATTCAAAAGAACATCTTGTAAGACCTGAATGGCTTTGTCATGGTTTTCACAAAATGAGTAAGTGAGTGCTTGCTGTATAGGACTCAACTTAATCAGACCTGAAAGGAAAGGAAAGTTTATTAAGGTCGTTGCCAAGTATCTAGGATTTAGAATATTATTATTTTAAAGACTTTAAGCTATTAAAATATTTTCCTCTAAAAAATGTACAAATAAGTACCATAAAAAATTTATTTACTTAAAGAAAATAGTAAGACATCTCAATTATCAACAAAAAAACCTTTAAGCATTGTTTCCTAAAATAACATTTCTAACAAGGTTCACTATGAATCATTATTTTAACAATTGGTTATATAAATAAGAAAGTGACATTTTAAGTTTCAAAATCTAACTTTGACTTTCAAGTGAATTTTTGGCATTGTTATTGTTAGTTACCACTGAAACTCATGCACAACTCAACTAAATTGGGCCAGATCCTCTGCCATACCCTTGATGATGTGCAGACTGGACCGCTATGATCTATGTGGTTTTTACTGGCTGGTTTATTGATGTAGTCCACATTAGTGTAGAAGCTGCACTAATGTATTTTCAGCATCATAGAAACATGCAAACTGCCAATATAGAGATGGTTGAGGCTGTGTAGGAAAGGAGTCAAACTCAAGTAACCTGTGTTGTTATTAGATGCTGTCAAGTACGACTCATAGTGACCCTATGAACAAACAGATATTAGTCTTCTATCACAAAATCAATGATCCCCTCTCCCAACCTACACATAGAAACTGAGAATAGCATAAAAAATTAACAGATATATTTCTTTTTAAGCTAAAACAGTTAAAATTTGTTTTATTTATTATACTTACCTTTGTTCATTTCTGCCACTTGATAAATTGTGAGTTTTGAAAGATCAAATTGTTTCATTGTGAGAAGATACTGTCCTCTGGAAGAAATAACAGTACTCTTACACTAAACAGTTAAACTATTTTGTCCAAAATAAAATTTCTTATACAGGTAGTTCCCATATTACAAGAGGGCTCCACTGAAAGAATTCCAGAATACATCAATTCTGATATAAGTAAAATATCTCTTTTTTAAAAAAATATTTCATTATTATTGCCTTCTATTATAAATAGCCTATAAATCCAACTTTTGTTTTGAGGTATTGAAAACATTACCTATGAACTTACAAGTATAGTTTAACATATGCATGCATTTAAAAAGACACATTTTCTTTTTATATGATGGTCATAAGTGTGATGGGTCATAACTAAAACATAAGTGAGGGATTACCTACAATCATTTACTTAAGATGTAATAATTTCAAAATATAATCAGTAATTTATACATAAAAGGTCACAAAAACAATATGAAGATTTGTATCTAATGAATATATTAATCAATGGCAATTAATATTATAAAACAAAATGTCTGTGAGTACCTCAAATATCAATATGATTTGTAAACCTTCACTTAATTTTTTTTAAAAAGAATATTCTAAGTCAACTAAGTATCTCAAACAATTATCATAGAGGTAAGATAAAAAAAAATGTGATACTGACAGAAAAATATTAAAATAGAGTTTTACAGTTGTCTGTGTCTAAAATGTTACACTATAACTTAGAAATTATTAAATGATAAAATTCAAGAAACATAAATGTTTAAGAATTAAAAGACATACCGTGAAGACATAATTAGGGGGAAAGAGACATAATCAGAAAGCATTATTCTGTATCATTTACTCAAATTTGTGAATCCTTCGAAGTTCTGCTGTTTTGGGATAATATTGAATTAATTATAAGAGCAAGCTCTAAATATTACATTTTAAATATAACTACATGTGCCATTTTTTAGTATTTATTTACTTGAGGTTTCTGTTTTATTTCCTTGAGGTTTGGTTTATAATTTTTGTGTACACAATCAAAATTACAGATGCTTCAAATAACCAATAGACATTTAAGTTTGTATCAAATTTTACTTTAATCATATTCATTTTTATTCAACCATTCATAAATATTTCAATTTAAAACTAATTTCATTTTATTAATGTAATAAATTACAATTAGACAGTTGTGTTTTGATTCAGGGATTAGAATAAGGAGATCAGGATATATTAGCTAATGAATTCTCTAACTTTAGTACAAATGATCACTACATCTTGCTTACTGATTGGAAGAAGGAAATTGCTGTAAAATTAAATGTAGAATAAGGAGGATCAAATAATCAAAAATAAAATTACTTAATTAGAGATTTCCTAAACTGGTGGACCAGTGGCAAGAAGCTGTGCTGCAATCTCCAAGGCATGCAGTTAGAATCTACCAGCTGCTCCGCAGAAGGCTGGGCAATCTCCTCCCATGCAATTAACTACCTCTGAAAACCTGCTGGAGGGTTAGCTGTGGGTTGGTTCCAACTCACCAGTACACAACAACAACAAAGATCCTACCAATAATTTTAATGAGAAGTTATCCCAAGAAGAATTCTATTTATTTGCTCATACCTTATTATATATAATTGGATTCCATCTGGCTGCAGATGTATAGCATAAGATAAATCTCTTACTGCCTCTTTCAATTTCTGCAACTGTTGAGTAATAAACACAAAATTACCTCCTAATAATATTGATTACTTCCTTTATGGCATGTATCCCCTCCCACACTTAACAACAGAAGTTTTCCATAATATCTTCTAATATATGTTTTTCACATGAATCAACAAAATTAATAGGATAAAGATATATTTACAATGTAATGTCTTTTATATAATTATCTTTAATTTTGAAGAATTATGGCACATTATATCTAATTTTGTATAAACCTAACTGTATCGTATATTCTGGATCATGTGCAGAAATGAGATTTTTGGGGGAGAATGGGAGAAGAAGGAATTAAGTTTTCCACAGTTCTCTTTCAATCATGTAACTCCCTTCATCAAACTTTGTCATAGTAATAGACTAGCATATAAAAAATAAAATAATAAAAATACATAATAAATACTAACTGAAAGTAATAGTAATAAATAAAATTAAAGTAAAATGTGTAAATTAATTCCACTCAAAAATAAATGAGGAAAAAGCATACTGAGTCAAAATGAATGAGTAATGAGTAAGAATCAACTAATTAAACAAAAGAAGGAAAATGAAGATCTGTCCATCACTAATATATAACAAAAAGTACATCCCCCCATGATATTGGGTACATAAAATCAACTACCATTGAGAATATTATAAAAGAAAGATTTTATAAACCATATCAAAATTAACCAGGGACAACCAACTACTCTCATTATTATAACAGTATGGTGATGCAACAAAGAGAATACACAAAATTAACTTGCGCGTAGAGTTAGGGAAGGTACAACCTATTTGAAGGAGTTAGTGGGTGGAGTCAAAAGAGGGAACTCATCAAAAGGTACTTGAGATTTATACAAATAAATGTGGGAAATTTTGTGAAACTTTAGACCTTGTACTTCCTAGTTGACTCTATTCGTAATTAATAAGACATTTCCTGATGCATATGTTGTGACTAACCATCATGAACACAGTTGAACAGATGGAGATTCATCTTCACCAACTGCCCTGGGATTAGAACTCTTCGGGCAGCCTTGAGCACAAATACAGACTTCTTCCAGTTAATTGGTCAAGTAGTTGTATTCCAAATTTCTTAGCATAGACTGGTGAGCACATTCAGGGATACATCTGTTATTTGAAACATGTCAATTTATATTCCATCAATTCCTGGGCCTTATTTTACCAATGCCTTTATCGCAGCTTGAACTTCTTCCTTCATTATTACTAGCTGTTCTTCATATGGTATATCCTGAAATGTTTCTGTGTCAACCATTTTATTTTGGTACAGTGATCCTGTCTATTCTTTCAGTCTTTTGATGGTTCCTGGATTATTCAAGATTTTGCCCAAAGAATCTCTTAGTATCACAACTGAAACCTTGCATTTGTTTTTTAGTTCTTTCAGGCATGTGAAATATCAAGCAAATTCTTCCCTTTTTATTATCTTTTCACATTCTGTCATAATGCTTTGCTTGGTTTTTTTTCTGGAGCTGCCCTTTGAAATATTCTTTTCATTTCTTTTACTAGGGCATTTTATCCCTTTATTTTGGCTGCTTGATGGTCTAAAGGAATTTTCAGAATATTTTCTGACATCCAAGAAGGGCAATCTAATAGAATGTGGAAATTATCAGACAATATCATTTATATTACATACAAGCAACACTCAAGGAGATGGACTGATGCAGTGACTGCATCAATGGGCTCAAATGTGTGATAGCACAGGATAGAACAGGTTTCAGAGTGATTGTTCATACCATCACTACAGGTCATTCTTGACTCAATGGCACCTAACAGCAATAACAGGCAGCCTTGAATTAGATTGTTGTTGTTGTTATTAGGCGCTGCCGAGTGGAGTATGATTCATAGTGACCCTATGAACGACCAGTTTGAACCCTGTACTATCCTATGCCTACTTCCTAATCTCTGACACACTCAAGCTCGTTGATGCAGTCACTGTGTCAATCCTCCTGGTTTTCTTTAAAGATCACTCTGGCTGCACTTTCTCCAAGAAATATCTATTTGTTCTTTTGGAAGTACATGGGATACTCAGTACTCTTCTCCAACAAAACAACTCAAAGGCATCAATTCTCTTCTGTCACCTTTATATATTGTCCAGCTCTCAGATGCATTGCATTTTATTAAAGACCATGGCTTGAATCAGGTGCACCTTAATCTGTAAACTTAAAGCATTGCTCTTCAGGACTTTGGAGATGTCCCTAATAGTTGACTTTTCCAATGTTGTACATCTCCTGGTCTAGTCACAAAGGGACAAATGCTATATGGTGCCACTGTTGTAGAATGAGGCTGGCATTGGGGTGGGGGTAAGACTGAGAAAAACTGGATGAAATATGTT